TCCTGAAACACCTTTCATTCTTTCAGCTAAAACCACAGTAAATATTTTGTAGTCATGGTTCAAATTGGCTGATCATTTATTTGGGAAAATAGGATCCTGTGTTTCTTTATGAATTAAAGCAATATTCGCTCCTTTCCAATTTTCTAGTAATTTTCCAAATTAAAGTTAATCGGTTTTTGCAAAGGTTGTATCACTTCATCTTCAAAACATTTATAAGAAGATGCAGATAATCCATCTGGTCCCTCTGGTCCTCATGAGCCAGAGTTTTGACATAGGTTCTGGGTAGGAGGAAAGATATTCCCTCCCCTCAGCCAATTTTCCATTCAGGGCAGTATTTATTTCTGTGCAAATTTGCTCTACAGGCTTTCAGAGATCACTGCTTGGCAAATACGGATTTTTCCAGAGTTTTCTCCATGTATGTCCCCACTTTTAGGGAGAGAGCGTCAGCCAGTCATCATTGTTCAGAGAGAAGGAGGGCAGAAGGGTCTCTCCAGCCAAGGGAGCTTCTGAGAACTTGTAGAGCAGGGCTGCGGTCTTGGCATCAAAAAAGGTCACCTGTCCCCCTTCACAGTTGAGAGAGACTCGGATCCTCTTCAGATTCTTAGTCAGAGGCAGTTTGGGGTATTTTGGGGGAATGTTGGCCCTGTATTTCCTTGCCCATTTCCCAACCTCCCAGATCCCTTCCTCAGGACAAAGATTGATGTAATCTTTTCTGTTCACTAACTTTTTGGCAACCCCTACATACCATTCCTCCTTCTTTCCTACAGTGACTTCCCAGAAATGTCTCCCTGTTGAAAACTCCTGACAGCCAAGGACATATAGCCAATTTTCAAATCTCTCAGGGTTTTTGGGAAGGCATTGATCTTCAACAACTGCTCTGATGCTTTTACGATCTTCGGAGAGGACGAGGCCAGGATGGGCTGTGTCTGGATCCAGAATTACATTTGCTGTAAGGGGGAAGAGGAGGAAGGAGAAGAAAAAGAGCTTCAGTTGCAGGTCTGTTTTGACTCATGACTCCCAATAGATCAAATCTAGGGCCTCCTCTCTGAAAGGAATTCAGCTTCCAAGCACCCCTTCCAGGACTGGAAGAGTCACCAATTTTCCAGCAACACTTAAACTTTGCTGAGTTCTTCAAACTCTTCCTGCTGCTTCACACTCTCCCAGCAATGCTTCCCCTCAGTCTCATTTGCTTCCATCTTGCAGGTGGGAAGAACGGGGTTGGGAGTAAAGAGTGTTTGGCTTTGCCTTCAGTGAGTTCCTGGGAGGGCCAAGATGTGAACAGGAACTCCTCCTGGGGTGTTAATCCAGGGGATCAGGCAGAGCAAGAGGCTGCCATGTTTCAATCCTGAATTGGCAGAGTCAGAGGGGTGCTCCAGAGGTAACTGGGGCACATGATGGAAAGGAAGTGTGATGAAGCTCTGCCCTTTCTGTATGAACATCATGATATCACATGCACGTACAAACGGGGGGATCTTGTGTAGGAACCAGGCACCTTTACTTTCATCATGTTGATGGACCACAAGATGGAGGCAACTGGGCATTTTCCTGGTGCTCCATTTTGCCATTTGCTTTGGCCAACAGGACCTGATTCCTCTGCTCCCAATGACTCGGTCTCTCACCAATTTAGTCAGGCAGTGAATTTGACACACTGCATAGAAGATTGATAATAGTAATGTTGAAGTAGAAAACCAATCAAGGAGCAAACTCTTTGCAAAGTACAAACCCTATAAATCCAGGGAGTGTTTTCTCAGGTCTGGTGCTGAGAAACAGTTGGGCAACCTTTTTAACGTTCATGACCCTCTCAGCCTTCACAACCTTTGAAATTTATTTGGAAGAAGTGCTTTTGATCTCACATGAGTTGACAGCCTCCATACTAATTTTTTAAGCAGCCTAAAATTTTCCACCTTTCCTAGTCAGAATGAAGAACAAAAGATGCTACTTCTTCAAGGAATCCACTGTGACTCTTAATCAGCCACACCATGTTTCAGGCTAATACAGGAGAGTGAAACACCTCTGGCTGCTTTAATAAATAGCCCAAGGATGCTGTGTTCTTGCAAGGGTCAAAGTACTAATTCAGAATTTTTTCCAAAGGATATGCAGCCCAAAACCTCATAAACCCTTCTCACTCCTGGCACACACACCCCACAGACACAGATTGTGGCTCCTTTGTGCTGAGGAAGCCATAATCTGCAGGCTGTCCAGGTCTCTAGGGAGGAACATCAGAAGCTCCCAGAAGCCACCAGCTCTCTACAGGGCAGCTCTCATGGGGCAGAAGGGAAAGCCCCTTTGACAGTCCACCGTCAGCAGCAAAATATCCAGGACAGCCCTGTCTAGCTCTGCCTTCTTACTAGCTGCCGGCAGGAACAGGGCTCAGCTCTGCTTTTGGCACCAAAGCGTCTTAGGAAAAGCGTACCCCACTCCGTGGCAACAGGAAGCAGCACAGCTCACCCATATTATTGGAGGGAAGTCAGGAAGGTGCTCAGGGCAGCCAATGGCAGCCTCTTCTCGATCACACCCACCAATGTGGAGGAGCTGGAATGGGGTCAAAGGCTGCCAAAGATGAAAAAATAGGGGCCACCACCTTGGGATTCTTTTCTCTTGGAAGGATTCTCGCATTCATTATTGCTCAAAAACAAGAGGACAACGTTATTGGACTGGCAGGAATTCTGTGCTCATTTCAGCACCGGCCCAACGTTTTTGCACTTGTCCAGATAGTTCATTCTATGCTGAGGCTGACTTCAGTTTTGTCGAATACCCTTACTGGATCTTCATAGCTTTAAGGTGTCTGATCCTATATTTTTCTGTTTGTTACTCTATTCTATTTCTATTAATGTTATTGGCATCAGAGTTCAAAATAGCAAGTGAGAGAGATTCTTAAAACTCATATTTACCTTTCTGCAGTTCAAGTCCAACTTCCAGAGTATCTGGGGAAGAAAAAGGAGAGATTCAGCGTCTCACCGTTAGAACTGGATCAACAGCAGGGCCTCCCTACAGATAGAGTCTTCTTTGCTTTCCCTGGCCTCAAATCAGGGAATAAGGAACAAGGAAAGCTAAATGTCATAATGTCATCGGTGTTAAAATATTATTAAAATACTACTCCAAGCTCTAATTGTCTGCCAAATATTCAGACTCAGAACCCCAAGATAAGGCCTATTCTGCTTCCCTGGTGATCAGTGCAGGTGGATTTGGTAAAGAAAGGGAAATTGTCAACCGTGACTATCTAAAGCTTGCGATTTTTAGCTTGAATGTCTTTAAGGAGAGAAATCAGAAAGCTCCTGTTCTTCCTCCTTGTGTCCAAGACGCAAAGCCCTTTCCACAGAGAAATGAAGGTGTTTCTTCCACTGACCCTGAAATCTGTCCCTCTTTGATCCCTCCTGAC